TGAAACTACACCAAAAAGACATTCTCATTGTTTTTTTTTTTTTTGCAAATGTTTTGGTCTATCCCCTCGTGTGTGTGTGTGTGTGTGTGTGTGTGTGTGTGAAGTCCTTGTCTCAGGCGTTATCTTCCAGAAATTAAAATGGACTGTTGTGGTATCATAATGAATGTAATAATAGCCTAGGAACCTAGACATGTCCAAGAAGAAAGTAAACGGTTGTCACTTATCAGAGCATTCATATCTGGAAAGGAATGATATAACCATCACTGAGCTGAAAGCTGTGAGACTTGAGTTACAAGTATAAATTGTGAGGCCGATGCAGCAAATTCAGGACTAAGTTTTCTGCAGAGCAGCTGAGAGCAGTAAGAGAGGACACAGGGCATTCCTGCTCTGTGCATGACAGGGAGGGTGTCTATGGAGCAGAACAGGAAGGATTTCCGTGCTGCGCGAGAGTGACAAAGTTCCTGAGTGATGGAACACTGGTGACTAGCAATGTTGTCTCCTTCAGCTCATTTCTTGAAGCTGCGTGAAAATGCACACTGCCTGAGAGGATGCTCTTGGCCACCTATTCCCACCCACACTGAGACAGAACACAGGTCTGCTTACAGACCGAAATGGTTCCTCTATTACAATGCTCACGTTGGTAATGAATCAAGCTCAGCACATGTTTATACTCCCTGAACCTGGGAGGAAGAATGGGTAGTTCAATCCAGCCTGAACCACACAGAGAGTACTTGGTTCAAGACAGAAACCAAACAAAACCCAAACAATCAAAACTGAACAACTGAAACGAGGGCTGGGGATGTAGGTAAGAGACAGAATAGGTCTTTAGTGTACACAAGGCCTTGGGTTCAATCGCTAGCATGGAGGAAACAAAAATAAAACAGGCTTTTACTTAAGTTAGCAGGAGATTGCTCTTCTCAGTGTCCGATGTTCATCTCAATAGATTCACAAAACTAATAAAATGTACAAGTGTGAAATACATTATCCACACAGGCTGTAAAAGCTCTTTATTTGGCCACTTTAAAAAAATTACACGGATTCTGGGAGAAATATAATCAGTTAGATCTAAGATGAAGAATCAAAACACCAATCTAAGCCTTCAGAACCTATCCTTGACATTTCAAAGTAATGAAATTCAAATTTTGCCTTTTATAATTTTCTATCCCATATTGATTCTAAATGACTTGGGGTTTCTCACAGCGTGATGAAGCATGGAGAATGCAGTTTGCCAGATCTTTTTTTGGTCAGAAGTGGGATCCATCCTGATGGGCCTGTCTGTCAGACGATGCCCACTCACTTCATGCAGTATAATAATCAAAGCCAGACTTTGGATGGGTTTGAGATTTCTTTTCTCCATTTCTTTGACAGTTGTTGTATAAATTTCAGAAGATATGTGGAACAAAAGAAGGCAAGAACTAGTCATGAGTGACTTGTGGCTTCCCAGATCAGTCCTGAGCCACCCAGCAGGGGCATGAGAACAGTTCTGTCTCCAAGTGTCAGCGGTCATTGGAAGGCTGATGATTAACTGTCAAGGCACTGTCAGTAGGAAGAGGTTGCAAACAGAGACAGCAATTTCCACTGTTTCTAATGAACAATTTCCTAGCCTGAGAGTCACTCTTAGCTAGGGGTGGATGGCCTCCCTTCTCCTGCTCCCATTCACTGGTTGGCATGTCTCAAACCTCTGTTCTTTTGAGCTTCCTTGTCAGTCTAGCTGTCTACTGCACCCTTGCTCTCAAACCTATGCTGCAAACCTGGTTTCCAATGAGGTTTTGATTCATTATGTCAGGATCATGTCTCTGTCTCCTCAGGATAAACTATTTCGAAAGGGCTGATAAGCCTTTCTTCTGGGAGAGGGGGCAACTGACCTGGTCCTCTCTGCGACTTTATCTTTTGCTATATCCAAGGCCTTCTCTCACTCTTAAATCGTCATGTCTTTAGCATTCCACCATGTAAGACTCCTTAGATGTGGGATGCCTTCTGGGCTAGCCCCCTAAGTACCCACTTCGTACACTGTTCAGGATCTCCTTTGATAGAACAGATTGTGACAGAGGTTTGACAGTTTTCTAGATTGTAGTCAAAACTGTCTATGAAGAGTGCTACAAAGGGAATACAAAGAGAATAACCGGTAATTAATAAAAATAACAATGCAAAAAAGAGTATATTATTTACTTCTCTCATCGATGTCATCAAAATACATGACAGAAGTAACTTGAGGAAAGAACATTTTATTCTGGGTCATATTTTGGGGGGTACAATAAATCATGGTGGAGAAGGTATGGCACCAAAAGCATGAAGAAGAGAAATGGATGCTGGGAAAGCTGGTCACCCTGAACTTGTAGTTGGGAAGAAAAGAGATAAACGCTAAGGTTGAGTTTGTTTTCACCTTTTTATTCAGTCCAGGAACCCGGCCCATGGATGAATATTCTGTTCACATTTATAATGGGTCTTCCCACCTCAACTGAACTGAACTGAAATCTAAGATGTGTTCAGAGATTTATTTCCATGTTTATTCTAGATCTTGTCAAGTTGACAGTCCATATTCACCATCATAAGGGTATTCTCTCTATCCAAACATATGTCCATCCACCCATCCATGTACCCACCCATCCATCCACCTCTCTACCCTTTCCATGCATTTATTCTTCACTTTTAGTTTCATACTAGAGATACAATGTGTCATGAGATAGGCCTAATCTTGGCTTATCTAGAAGATCTAGAAAAAGATCTTCTTCTAGGCCTAGAAGAAGATATACATATATAATATATCTAATATATATATATTAGCATATATACACATATATTTACCATATCTATCTATCTGTCTGTCTGTCTATCTATCCATTCATCCATCCTGGCATGTTACCTGCTCCAAAGGGGATGGCAAAAAATAAGCATAGAACTCTAAAAT